CCTTCGGCGGCGGCGACGACGACGTTGCCGCGTGGGAGGTCTCTAACGTAGGATGCAGCTCTTGGGATGTTAAATTCTGTATCGGCGCTCGTATTTCGCTGGTCGATAATCAGCTTAATCTGGGCTGATCTGGCCTAATTCGGGTTAGTCCCGCTTATTCTGGCTAAATCCGTTTTAACCCCAGGCTTACTCCGGCCTGATCCGGGGAAGTGGCATTCAATCGGACTTCATCGCATACAATCGTTCTAGCGAAAACCTCCCAGGACGTGCCTCCGAATCTCATGAAGGATCCCACCGCCACTGCCGGACAGGCTCCCGAGGGGAGCGACGACGCCGACTAGCGACGGCGGCGACGAAGACGATGACGACGACCACGACGACGACGACGGCGACGACGACGATGGCGACGACGACGACGACGACCGACGACGACGACGAAGACGGCGACGACGACCATGACGACGACGACCGACGACGACGACGACGACGACCGACGACGACCACGACGCCGACGCCGACCACGACCACGACGACGACGACGACGACGGCGCCGGCGGCGGCGAACGGCCCGCGGCGGGGGCGGCGGTGGCGACCACGACGTCAGGCGATCTTTCTGCTGGCCGCCGCCTGCGGCCTGCTCGCCCGCGCGGCTCCGGCGGTCGGCGCGGGCCACCCCGCCGCGGAGCTCGAGCTCGAGGAAGCCCTCGACGGCGACGACGAGGCCCGCCTCTCGCTACTGTCGCTCTCTCTCCCGTCGCCGGGGTCGTCGTCGTCGTCGTCATCGTCTTCGTCATCGTCGTCGTCGTCGTCGTCGTCGTCGTCGTCGTCGTCGTCATTGTCCTCCTCCTCCTCCTGACTGAGGGGCAACGTCCTGGACAAAATCAGGACGGTGTTTTTTTTGAGTGTTTGGCCTCTGGGGACCCTTGCCAGGCCCCAGAATCGTCAAACACCGACTCGGGATGAAAAATTGGCCCTGGGAAAGGGGTCGGGATTTCCAGGGACCGCGTGTTGAAAAAATCAGGGCGTTTCCTCCTCCTCCTCCTCCTCCTTCTCATCCTCCCTCCTCCTCCTCCTATCCTCTCCTCCTCCTCCTCCTACTCCTCCTCCTCCTTCTCCTTCCCCCTCCTCCTCCTCCTCCTCCTCCTCCTCCTCTTCCTCCCTCCTCCTCCTCCTCCATCTCCTCATCCATCTCCTCCCTCCTCCTCCTCCTCCATCTCCTCATCCATCTCCTCCTCCCCTACCCCTCCACCTCCTCATGCACCTCATCCTCCGCCTCCTCCTCCGCCTCCTCCTCCTCCTCCTCCTCCTCCTCCTCCTCCTCCTCCTCCTCCTCCTCCTCCTCCTCCTCCTCCTCCCCCTTGGGTCGCCTACGGCCCTGGAGGGGCCGCGGACTTCTCTTGCCCTTGACCGAGCTTTCTTGCCGTGGGCTGGCCGTCCGTCCTCCTTCTCTGAGATGGTGTACCGAGGTCCTCCGACAACAGGACAAGCGATATGTTGGGCAGCCCCGATCGTCTCCCCCCCCACCCCGCCTCCTGCTCTGTGTACTTCTGGCTTGGCGGGTTGACTCGTTGAACCTTTCCGACCCGGGCGTTCTTCCTCTGATTCGACTTCTGATGACGGTCCCGGGGCCCCGCGACAATCAAGGAGGAGTCCAGGACGAAAGATCGATCTTGGGGAAGGGGCTGAGACCGCGAGGGCCCGTGGAAAGAAATTAGAAACAAACTCGTCCTTCGGATATTGCCCCCACCGGGCCAGGGAACCTCAGCGCATCTTAGCGCCACCCGCCTGCTCTCCGGGTGGGGATAGATGCCGTGAGTCCCGAGGGAGAAGGCGTGTGCTTCCTGGGCGTCGGGTCGGCCAGCAAGGCCAAGCCTCTCCCTGTGGGAACCAAAGGCGGGCACACGGTGGGGCCCGTGACAGCGTGGTGCGGTGCGGCATCGTGGGCGATGTTGGTCTGCGGATCTGCCAGCGCGCGTTCAGAAGGGAATTCTTCGTGCAGCCAGTGAGCCGGTGCCCGCATCGGAGATTGCCTGTCGCAGAAAGCAACACCCAGATCACAGGTCGTTAAGCGACGGGGCCAAGGCGCCAAGGCTTGCTTGCTTGCCCGACCTTGTCCGACCTTGCCCGACCTTGCAAGCGTGGCCAAACCGACCTTGCAAGCGGGGCCAAGGCTCCCCTAGATCGGAAGGGATAAGGTACAACAGTGACACGTGCGTCGTCTTTCAAGCTGTGCGTGTGGCAGCAATGCGCTTTGTGAAGGAACAAGGCACTTCGTCAACCGTATCACGCTGATGGGGTCTCCCGGCCAGAGTGACATTGAGATTGCTGTTGTTATCGGGCTAGGGTCGGGGGTCCCCAAACGGTGTGGTGACCGCACTGGTTTGGGACTTGGGTTGCTCTCCGAGAATGCCTCGGGCTGCAGGGGCCTCCGGGGTCCCAAGACCGTGCGGTGACGGACCGTGCTGTGAGGTCTCTGGGGATTTCGAGGTCACCGCATGGCCTGTCACCGCACCGCTTCGGGGCCCCCGACCTAAAACTTAGGGGCGGAGGGCGATCAGTTTGACCCACCACCACGCTTCGGCGCGACACGCCAACCTCCTCCTCAGGCGATCGCAAACATGGATTAAGGGGGCGTGGATTAGCGACGGGTCCCTTTTCCATGGGAAATCGCGGATTTCAGCCGCCGAACGAGGCGGCACCGGCCGCATTTGGGGGAGGGCACCTCCCCCGATCCATGGACTAGGCGACGGCGCGCCAAATTCATGGATCGCTGATCCGTGTTTGCGCGCCCCCGACTTCCCAGGCGTCGACGTCCTGAGCTCTTGCCAGCCTCCCGCCCCGTGGAGCGGGGCGACACGCTGCCCCAGCTTACGGGGCGCAGCGTGCCGCGGGGGCCGATGGGTGCTCCAGCGCCTGCTCGGCGATGTGGCGGCGTCGGCACCGGTTGGCCGGGCGTCTGATTCTCGACGGCTGTGTTCGACTGCACGTAAGAGTGACCCTTTGCCAGAGTGACCTTTGGTGCGGGCCCATTGGGGTCCCCGATCGCCGAACGCGAGGCGGCAGTGGCGTCTTGCGCGCTTGTGTGTTGGCCCCCCCGCGGCCCCCAAAAAGCCGCGCACCAAAGGTCACTCTTGCCCAGGGTCACTCTTGCGCGTAGCCGATGTGTTTCCCGGACGGGCTGCAGTCAGGACGCTAGAGTAAGGAACAGTTTGGGTTCGGAAGGGACTCGATGTTCCTGAGGTCCTTCTGTGGCTGTTCCTTCAGCTATCCTCGTGAGCGAAGGCTGATTGGGGGTCTAAAAGGGGCTTCGTTCCTTATTTAGCGTTCCTTACAGTCAAGACGCTGAAATAAGGAACAGTTTGGGTTCGGAAGGGGCTCGATGTTCCTTAGGTTTCTCCAGTGCTGTTCCTCTTGCCCTCCTGGGACACGGAGGCGCTTACAGGGCCAAGAAGGGGCTGCGTTCCTTATTTAGCGTTCCTTCATTCAGCGGCCCGACTGTATTTCAGTGGCCCGACTGTGCGACTGCCTCTTCCACTCACCCGCATTTGTCCTCGCCGTGGCCTCGTCTTACGCCGCCGCGACACCCTGAACAAGAGTTCCCGAACGTATAGTATATCTAGGCCTCCTAGATGGGGTCCGAGTAGATGGGGGTCGGGGGATTGCGCCGCATCGCCGATGCATCGACGATGCGGCTCGTTGTGGAGCCAGAATTTCTCCACGCCGACGTCGCCGATGAATCGCCAATGCATCGACGATGCATCGCAGATGCATGGGCAATGCGGTGCGACCTTCCGACCCCCTCTGCTCCGACCCCGTTTGGGAGGCGTCTAGTGTATGTCTGTCAACGCCGATCCTGCCCCACCCGCTCCGAGGTCCACCTGCTCCAGGAGAGGGTCCTCGAGCGGCGCCGCGGCGCGGCGCCCGCGGCGGGGCAGAAGAGGGCCGCGGCCCCGAGCGTCTGCGAGGACCCTCTGGCGGGCAGGGCCCTCGACCCGGGCGCTGCAAGCTTGCTTGCTCAGCTGCCTCGAGACGCCCGTTTTGATACGCAGCACGTGCCGTGCTCAAAACGTCTGTGGGCCGATACGTTGCGCGTTGGCTCAACGTATTGGCCCACGTTTTGGCGAAACTGTCGCTTCAGACCTGCGTTTTCGGTCTACGCGTTGAGCTCCGTATCAAGACGCTACGTGTTGCGTGTTGCGTAAAGGGGCAGCTAAGCACGCGGGGCGTTCTCGGTTTTCGTCGGTCTCCCAGACCACCGACGGTATGATCCGTTCAATCATAGCGTGAACCTTCGACTTCGGCCTCTTTTTCTGGGCCCCGGGACTTTCAAATATGGATCCTCTGCGAAAAACTACTCCCAGGGAAGCGGTCGGGGCTTTTTGAGCCGCGGATGGGAAAACAAAATCGGTTGATGTCAGAGGTTTCCATTGTTTTCGAACGTTTTGGCGTGCTCCTGGGGGTTTCCTGCCTCGCGATGTTTTCAGCATCTGCTGTTTCCACGTTAGGCTTTCGTTTTGAAGAGACAGCGCCACCGTTCACTCATAAATGCTTCTCCCCCTCCCTCTCCTCCCCATCCTTACCTCTTCCCTCCGCATCCGTGTACCAGTTCGGTACACCCCGCACGCCGAATGTGTTTTTTTTTCAGCACACTTAACACGTTTCGTGGCCCCATAGGGAGTTCCACCGAGGGCCCCAGTAGTCGAGCTAAGAGAACTATGCACATGCACCGATCCTGACAACGTCCATCCTGGACCCAGGATCGGTGCATATACCTTCCTGGCCAAGGTAAGAGGGCGTATGCACCGATCCTGGGCTCTGGATGGGCCTGGCCAGAATCGGTGTATGTGCATAGTTCCCTTTCCTCGAAGTAGCAGGGTTCACATGCGATTCCCCGCCCGTTCTCGTCTGCACCGTATCGAGGCGGGGCGCCCTATGAGAATTCCGCTCCGAGACGACGACGGGCATGTCTCCCTGACGGTGCCCCCCTGGGCCGCCGCAGGATGGACCTGCGGAGGTGCGGGAGAAAGCCTTCTCCGAAAACGACGCGGCCATCGACTTGGCCCAGCTGGTGCCCGAAGCGCCCATCTTGGATGAGCCCCAGTTGAGACAGCTCGGTATCGTTTGGCCGATCCCCATCCCCATCCCCATCCCCTTCGAGACCCCCACCAAATTGCCACCCTAGTTTGGGATACACCCCTCGAAACCCGAAGGGAACGACGTATATCCACATCTAGGGGGGTACATCGGCCAGTGGAGCCCAGCCCACGCCGCTGGGGATGGGGATCGGTTAAACGATACTCAACAGCGGCGCCCCCCCCCCCGCCTGGCCCACACCCGCTTCAAACCGGCGGCGAGAAACCCCCCGGGCGGCCCCGAGAGCTCGAGGAACTCCATGGTTGGGCCGCCACCGTCGGCCGGGGCCAGGATCGGGGTACATCTTTCCAGAGCGTTCTGGGACGGTCTTGGAGCGTTCTGGAACGCTTTGAGAAAGCCGCGGCGCCCGAAGCATCCTCCAGAACCGCCGAATCTCAGAGATCCCCGATTGTGTCCCGGCTGATTTTGTCCCTACCCTTGGTTCGCCGTGCGTTGTTCAGGAGAGAAAGGACACACAGACACAATGAATCGTCGATTCCCAGGAAAATATAGGAAAATATGGGAAGTGGGGGGAAGACAAAACTGAAGAACATATGGGAACTATGGAAATCCTGGGATTTCGTTGTATTTGTTTGTGTGTCTCTGGGCCCCTTTAGTTGTCTCGACTGGCCCTCCTCCAGCCATCGCCGCTGCGGAGGCCGAGCCCGCGGACGCGAGCGCCTCGCCCGCCGCGGTCTCGGCAGACGCCCCGGAGGCCGCGAAGGGCCACGTCCGGCTCTTCCGGTACGCCCTGGACGCGCTGACCGTTCTCCTGCTGCTGGACGGCTGCAGGCGCCCGGCGCGGCGGCGTCAAATAATGGTGACGGTGATGATGATGATGATGATGATGATGATGATGATGATGATGATGATGATGATGATGATGATGATGATGATGATGATGATGATGATGATGATGATGATGATGATGATGATGATGATGATGATTATGATTATGAGTATGATTATGATGGTGGTGATGGTGATGGTGATGGTGATGGTGATGGCGATGGCGATGGTGGTGATGGTGATGGTGATGATGGTGATGATGATGGTGATGGTGATGGTGATAGTGATGGTGACGGTGATGGTGATGGTGATGGTGATGTGGATGATGAAGATGATATGTTGAGACGGTGCGGTTGATGTTGATAATGATGACGGTGATGGATGGCGATCATTGTGATGGTGACGATGATGATAGTGATGATGATGGTGATGGTGATGATGATGATGATGACGTTTATGTAGGATGATGACGGGACGACGGGAATGATGGTAGAGACGAGGACGGTGACGATTGTGGTGTGATGATTGCGATGGTGAAGATGACGATGACGAGTATGACGATGTTAGTTGTGTTGTGTTGGTTTGTGATGATGGTGACGGTGATGGCGTTGCTGTGTGTGTGTGGGGGGGTGATGATTGCGATGAAGCTGGTGGTGATAACGACGATGACGATGCTGGCAAGGTAAGCGGTTTTGTATTAAGGATGGCGGCGATGGTGAGGATGATGGTGGTGATGATGGTGTTAATGATAATGATGGTGATGTTTACGATGACGACGATGACGATGACAATGGTGGTGATGATGATGCTGATGCGGATGCTGATGCTGATGCTGATGATGTTGATGATGACGATGCTGCTGATGATGATGATGATGATGATGATAATGATGATGATGATGATGATGATGATGATGATGATGATGATGATGATGGTGCTGATGATGATGATGATGATGATGATGATGATGATGATGATGATGATGATGATGATGATGGTGATGGTGGTGTTGGTGATGTACGGTAGGCACGGCCAAGAAGACACCAGCCCGCCAGCAGGTGCCCCACGGGCATATGCTGGGAACTGAGATTCATCCAGCTGCCTGCGGCAAACCCCGTCTCCGTGCCTGTGCAGCAGCGCTGTAGGCAGGAGACTGAGTGTAGGAACAGCGCAATTCCGAAGAGTAGTCTGCATTCGGGCGGGTCGTGATCCCGACCTCGTTGTCGTCCGCGCGGTGGGGAGGAGGAGGAGGAGAAGGAGAGGGATAACATGAGGATGAGGAGGAGACGGTTTCGTGGGGCCTTCTTGGGGGCCTTCTGGGAGCTTATTTAAAGCTTCTTGGGGGCCTTTGGGGGGCCTCATGGAGCTTCTTGGGGGCCTCTTGGGGTCTCTTGGGCCGTTTGAGGGGACTCGTGGCCCGCCTGACGCCCATGGAGGCCGCCTTGGGGGTCTCTCTAGGCGCGCTGGTGCTCTCTTGGAGCGGTTCACGGCCGTCTTGGGGCCCTCTTGGGAGCTCCTTGGGCTATTTTTGGGTCCTCGTGGGCCAACTTCGGGTCCTCTAGTGGGCCTCTTGGGCTGTCTTGGGGCCATATTGGAGACCTCTTGGAGGCTTCTTGGGCCGTCTTGGGCTTTCGGAAGCCCGAACATGTGAGAATCTCAAACATCTTCCAAACACCTGAGGACAATCAATGGTTTTGTCCTCGGACTCTCCAGGAGGGCCTTTCGGAGACCGCTTCGGCCGTCTTGGGTGCTTCTGGATCTGTCTTGAGGCTGTGTTGGGAGCCTCTTGGGCCATATTGGGTAATCTTGGCGTCGCCGTGGCTTCCTTGGAAGCCGTCCCACAGATCAAGAGGCCCCTCAGACGGCCCAAGAGGTCTGCAAGAGGCCCTTCAGGAGAGCCCGAGGAGTCCAACCATTGATATTCCTCAGGTGTTTCAGGAATTGTCAGGTTCTGGTATGTTTGGGCTTTCGACCACCCAAGACAAACCAAGAGACCTCTCTGGGCCGTCTTGTTGCTCTGTTGGAGCGCTTCAAGGCCGTCTCAGGGCCCGCTTTGGAAGGCCATTGGGCGAATTGTGGGTCCTCTTCGGCCGTCTTGGGGCCCTCTTGGGGGCCTCTTGGGCCGTCTTGGAGCTATCTTGGGGGCATCTTGCAAGCCTCTTGGGCCGTCTTGGGCTTTCGGAAACCCGAACAGGCGCGATCTTCAAACTCCATCAGAATCCGGTGGGAAACCAATCTATAGCGTTGGCCCCCATCGGGCTTTCCAGGAAGGAAGGCCTCGTGGAGCTCTCTCGGGCAGTCTGTGGATCCTCCTGGGCCGTCTATCTTGAGCCGTTTTGTTGTCGTCTTGGGGGCCATCTTGGAAGCCGTCTTGTGGGCCGTCTTGGCTGTCTTGGAAGCCGTCTTGGGAGCCATCTTGGCCGTCTGGAGGCCCAACACAGCGCCGGCGAGCAACTTCATGAAGGGCGATGTTTAACCCTGGTGGTGAATGGGGAGGGGAGGGGGGCAGCCTTAGAAAACTTTCAAATAATATTCCCAGAGGGATCACAGGAGCATTCTAACACGCCCACGTCACGCAGGCACAGTGGCAGATTTGTTTCGAGCCCTGGGGCACCCCTGAGAGCTCGAAGCCCGACGACAAACGTGCTCCCACATTCCTCACAGCAAGTTTCCATATCACATGCTTATTATTTCTGTTGTATGTGGTGAAGATGCGTTTGCTTTATCTTGGTAATGGCAATGCTGGAAGTGGTGATGCCGATGGTACCCATGCACCCATCGTTCGTTTAATTTCGGCTTCTTTGCATGCCCCATATTCCGATACGTTTCAGGCGCCTTCTTAATTCAATTATCGGATTTGTCCTGTTTCCTAAGTGGGTCAGGCGCCTTCCCTCTCCCTTCCTTTTCTCAATGCGCGAGGAAACCCAGTCTATGTTTAACGCTGTTCTACTCCTTCCGAACGATGTTTTATAGGCTCCTTCAGGCGCTGGCGCAACCACGGCCAGCCGAAGGCCGACGGCAGCGAGGACGCTCCGCCGCGCGGCAGCGAGGCGTTCCAGCGGCTCGTGCGCGCGGCCGCCGCCGGCGACGAGGCCGAAGACGACGACGACGACAGCGACGATGACAACGTCGACGACGACGACGTCGACGACAACGACGATGACAACGACGTCGACGACGACGACGACCCGCCGACGACGACAACGACGACGACGACGACGACGACGATGAAGACGACCACTCGGCCACGACGACGACGCGACGGCGACGGCGATGACGACGACCCGCTGACGAGCCGACGACGACGATGACGACAACGACGACGAGCACTTTGGGAATGTCCCCTGTTTTCTGCTCGCGTGCCATTCAACATGTATTTCCCAAGCCTTCGATGCCTGCCCCCGTCGTCTTCGAAGGTGCCCTCTTTGGGATATATACATACATACATATATATATATATATATATATAGATATGTTTACATGGCTAGTTCTGTTCCTGCCCTCTACGGTAATTGGAAGGGTCCTTGGAAAAACAGGGCACGACGAAGCTGGGAGAAGAGGAAGACGGGAGGAGGGAGGGAAGATGGGGGGTCAGGAGGGAATCGAGAAGGAGCGATTTGGTGAGGTTCAGAACGATTGGAATCAGGATGACGAGGAGGAGAAATATGGATAGGAGTTCTGGGCGAGCGCGCGATTTTTGTGTGTCAAGAACGTGGCGGCTGAGTTAAAGGCGAGGAAGGCACATGCGATAGAGCAATTCCGTTAGAAGTTGCAAGAAAGTCTGAAGCGTTACCAGTATGCCCGAATGATTTGCGAGGAAGTCCAAGGCGAGAACGCGGCTTTTGCCTTGAATGACTTGCAAGAGAAATTCCAGCGATAGCGAAGAGGGCGCATCTGACCAGGGCGCGTGGGAAGAATTGTAGGGCCAGTATCGAGAGGGAGCCCTTGTCGTCGCAGTTGGGCCTTCACCAAACCAAGTGGATTGCGAGGATCGAAATATCGGGCAAAAGCGCCATTCCTGCGAGCGGGAGCGTCCTGGGATCACAGTCGAGCTTGATCAGTACGTCGACCCTGCCAAATCAAGTGCACACTTGCGTCTTGTGTTTGGCGACCCATGCATGCTACATTCCTATGGCAATATGGCCATCGGGAGGGTCTTGTGTCCTCCCGCGTGTCTTCTCCAATTAACCCCGACTGTGTACCGAGAGGAAGTATCGAACGGGAGTCGCAGTCGTCGCAAATTGTCCTTTACCCTTTGATGAGTAAATGGCGAGAATGTCTCGAACAAAAGGCGCGTGGCAGTAGGTTTAAGGGAAGTGTCGAACGGTAGCCATTAACGTCGCAGTTGGGCCTTCACCGACCCAAGTGGATTGCGAGGAAGTCTCGTGGGAGAGGGCCATTCCCGAGAGCGGGTGCGTCTCTGGCCAACGCGCCTCGGAGCGACTTGAGAGGAAAACCGACCCGGTTTCGCTGTCGCCGTACCAACTTGATTGATACCGCCGGTCCTGAGATTGGGGGCTTCTCTGACCGCATCTCGGAGTAAATTGTGAGGAGGTATCAAGCGGGAGCCGTTGTCGCCATAGTTCGGGCCTCAGCCGTGAGGATTGGGAATGAAGCCCGCGCTCGAGCGGGAGCGTCGCTTTCAAGGAAAGCGACGGTGGCGTCGGGGCGAGAGCGCGGGAAACCCTGTCCTTTAGCAATGGTGATTCGGTGACGGCTCGACGACCGCTCAAAATCGGTCCCCAGACCCTTCCCAGCGTCCATCCTTCGGCTGCGCGCAAAAGGGTGGCCCTTCGCCAGAGTGACCCCAGGTGGGGCCCGCAGGGGTGCTCTACCTTCGGCTTCAAGCAGCTTGTGCGGGTGGCCTCGGCCCGCGGTCCCCTCAGGCCGCGCACTCCCGCCTGGGTGGTCATTCTTGCGTGCAGTGGGATCGTGGCCAGATAGAGGTTTTCCACCCCGGATCGGTCCTGCGATGGCCCCCAAGCACTAGACGGGGCCTCCCGAGACCGAAAGTTGTGGGGGAGCCGTCGTCGGCGCCGTCGCGAAAAGTCCCGTGAATTTTGGGAGTCTCGACGCCTTATCCAGGGTGTGGGGGTTCTGCTCACGGATCCACGTTCTGATGGTGTGGGAGCTCGGAAGCAGCCGCTGCAGAGGCCGAAGGTCAAGGATGCTGTCCGGAGTGAAAAAAAATCCACCAGAGGCCCAGGTAAGGTTGGTAAGCAGACCCCTCCCAGGCTCAACCCTGGCCAGTGCTTCGATCGGAAAGTGCTAATGGGAATCACCACCAGGGGATTCATCACCTCCTCTCGGAAATCGAGGACTGAGGAGGATGACGAGGAGAAGGATGATGATGATCATGAGGAGGAGGAGGAGGAGGAGGAGGAGGAGGAGGATCAGGAGGAGGATCAGGAGGAGCAGGAGGAGGAGGAGGAGGAGCAGGAGCAGGAGGAGGAGCAGGATGTGGAGGAGGAGATGGAGGAGGAGGAGGAGGAGGAGGACATGGAGGAGGAGGAGGAAGAGGAGGAGGAGGAAGAGATGATGATGATGATGATGATGATGATGATGATGATGATGATGATGATGATGATGATGATGATGATGATGATGATGATGATGATGATGATGATGATGATGATGATGATGATGATGATGATGATGATGATGATGATGATGATGATGATGATGATGAGGGGGAGGAGGAGGAGGAGGAGGAGGAGGAGGAGGAGGAGGAGGAGGAGCAGCAGGAGGAGAGAAGGAGGAGGAGGAGGACGACGAGAAGAATGGACGGAAGTTTGAGGATTTTTGTTGGCGCATATGTGCATCTCTTGGAGGAAGGGGGGCCCGTTCCCTTGAGGAGGTGGGGGCTCCCATTCTGTCGACCCCCCTCGGCATCGCCCTCCTCGGCTGCCGTGGACACGGGCACCCCCGCGAAACTCCCCAGGACCTCCGAAACGAAGCCGTCGTCGCCAGGACCACTCGCGTTGTGAGAAAAATGCGATGGGAGGTTGTTCGCTATTTTCGGCCTCCAGGGTCTATCACCGGGCCTCGGGACCGTCAAAAAACGACTCAGGACGTGAAATCGGTCCCGGGGAATGGGTCGAGACCTCTGTGTCGATACGCCCGTTTTGAAGCACGACACGTACCGTGTTCAAACGTCGTGTCACTACGTTGCGCGTAGGCTGAACATGTTAGCCCACGTTTTTGCGAAAGCACCGCGTCATACCTACGATTTCAGCCTACGTGTTGAGCTCCGTATCGATACGCTACGTGTTGCGTATTGCGTACTTGAGCAGCTAATGTCGTCGCTGTTGTCGTCGCCGTTCCCTGAGATCCAACGTAGCGAGGCACATTCAGCATCTTACATGATCACGCCCCGAGCAGCGTCCTCGAGCCCAATCCTCTTGCGGCACTCCCCGAGGCAGGTCGGTCTGCGAGTGGCTTCCCCAGGGCCAGCGTTTCGTCCTGACGCGTTTTGTGACGGTCCTGGGAGGTTGAAAGCGGAGAACCACATCAGTCGAGTTGTTCCATTCACGACGCGAGGGGGCTTTTGGCTTATGGGCCATAGATCTGGCCACCAGCGTCCGATCGGGACGATTCGTGCACCCTCGGAGCGCCCTCCGAGAGGAGCGTGTGGAAAACATGTTTTCTTTCTGGGGGATCTCCGGAAACATCCGCGAACCTCGAGGGCGAGACAGCCAATGATACTGTTTGCTTGAACCCGTGAAGTCCGTTACAGGAGGGTCGCTCTTCCCGTAACGGTAACGAAAGTATGAGAGGTATGGTATCGTGTTCACAGGCATGAAGTGGTGTTGGCAGGCATCGGAGGGCCTCCAGACACCTCCAGAGGCGGCCTTCGCCGTCGCCGTCGTCGTCGTCGTTGTTGTGGTTGTGGTTGTGGTCGTGGTCGTCTTCGTCGTCGCCGTCATCGTCGTCGTCGTCGGTCACATTCGTCCTCGTCCTCGTCCTCGTCCTCGTCGTCGCCCATCGTCGCCCATCGTCGCCGACGTCTGGCCCCCGGGGCCCCTCCAGCGGGGTCCGACCACAGTACTGGTACCCTTCCATGGGTGTCCGACCCACTGTAACGGGAATACAGCAGCAGTCTTGATGTCTTCGTTATTCCGACAAGGGTTCCCCTGAAGTCCCGATCCTTTCCCCTTCCATCCCGAGTTGCCTTCTGACGGTGCCAGCGCCTGGTGTGGGTCCTGGAGGCCGAAAATTGCCAGAAACCTTCCGTCGTGTTTTTGTTCACGACGCCAGCATGCCTGAGGGCGAGGGCTTCGTGAATTCAACATGTCAGTCTCCTAGCACTGGTGCTCGCGAGGGTGGCTCCCCAGGTGTGCATAGCATGCATGTAGCAAACAGACTCGTACATAGCAGTGCGTGGCGAGGGGTAGCATCAACGCAGCGTGCACTCAACCCGTAAACACTTTTTTTTGCCCGTGAGCCGCCTCGTGCGGCGTGCGTCGCAGCCATCGTACATTCTGTCTCAGTCATGACAAACTTCGTATTTGCGAGCTCTGGGAGGCGCTGGGGGGCTCTGGGAGGTTGCTCGGACTGAACAAAAACAGTCCGCCAGAGGCCCAGGCAAGATCGGTCGCGCCGCTCGGGTAGTGCCAAGGGGGGTACCACTAAGAAGAGAGCTCTCCACCTCCTGGAAATCGAGAGCTGAAAGGAGGAGGAAGAGGAGGAGGAGGAGGAGGAAAAGGAGGAGGAGGAGGAGGAGCAGGAGGAGGAGGAGGAGGAGGAGGAGGAGGAGGAGGAAGGATCGAGGCTGGGGAGCCGCGGCCACGCTGGCGACAGCAGGCGCTTGGCCAAGTTTCCCCAGCCGCCCTGCTGCGACGCCAGGGTCTCGGGGCGTGCATGTGCGAGCCCTGGGGAGGCGCCGGGGGGGAGGGGGCGGGCACGCGGTCGGACCCGGCAGGCCACAGCCCGCGAGCTGCTCCGCGGCGGCGCCTCGGCGAGCGAGGCCCAGGAGGGACAAACATACACACTCGCAGACAGGTGCACCCACACACACACACACACACTCGCAGACACATGCACACACACACACACATGACGAAGTGGGTCGATTTCCCTCAATCCCCAGACTCCTTCCCCCGACGAGGGGAGAGTGCTCTCTCCCTCCCGACGGGGAAGGATAAACAGAACAGGCGTCCCGTCGACAGGACCAGACAGACCCCTCACGCACGCCGACAGGGTCGGCGGATCTGCGCGAAACTAAGGGAAAGATGTGGGAACTGGATGGGGAGAGGAACGTCCGTGAGAGAAAGGAAAAAATGAGGAATCCTGGGATTTGTATCGATTTGATCGTGCCTCCCTGGGCCCCTCTTGAGGCTCGAAGAAGAAACCACCGCGCAAGCATAGACTTTGGGAGCTCCGCGCGGATTTCCTGGCTCCGCGTTGGGCCCCCCTGGCGACGCCTCCGGCGCTGCCCCTGGCGCGCTCCACGCGCCAGGGAGGGGGGGCCAGCGCGGATCCAAGAAGTCCGCGCGGAGCGCCGCCATATTCTGCTTATGCAGTGTTTTGTTATGTTCCTCTACTCGAGCAGAAGAATACGGCAGAGGAGGATCGAGGCCCAGATAGGCAACATCTGGACAACATCGGACCGGATGCTTTTCTGAATGTTCGGCCCCTTGGGCACTGACTGGGCCCCAGGGCCATCAAAAACGGCTCGGGACGAAACAACTGGCCCTGGGACATCGCGTGTCCGTGCGGAGCTCCGAAAGCGTATGCTTCTGCAGTGCTCTGTCCCTCTCGATGGGGGTCCAGCGCGGGTCCAAGCAGTCCGCGCGGAGCTCCCGAAGTCTATGCTTCTGCAGTGCTCTGTCCCTCTGGACGGGGGTCCAGCGCGGATCCCCGCAGTCCGCGCCGAGCTTCGAAAGCGCATCAGGGCTCGGCCTAAACAGTGTTTTGGCGATTTCGTGGGCCCTTTTCGTTTTGATATCGTCGGGCTGCAGAGGTGGATCGGAGACAGGACGAGGGAGCACGACACCAAAATGAAAACAAGCAACAGTGTTTTGGTCGAGCCCGACAGCGTATGCTTCTGTTCGGATGCAACTCCTGGGAGGTCAGATTCTGATTTTGCCCTGGTCCGAAACTCGGCTTCATTCGGCTGAATCCCGTTAATCCGGCTTAATCCCGCTCAATTTGGCTTAATCCCGCTTAATCCGAGGCCCACTCCGGCGCAACAGCCCCCCACTGGGGCTTTCTCCTCCCTAATCCTTCCGGCGAAGACCTCCCAGCAGTTGCCTCCTCACTTCTGCTGTGCTCTGCCCCCCAGCGAGGCGGACCTCTGGGGCTGCACCGCGCTCCACGCCGCGGCCAAGGGCGGCGCGCGCGGGCTGGCCGCGCAGCTGCTGGACCTCGGCGCCCGCCCGCGCCGCCGCGCCCGCACGCCCTCGAGGAGCAGCGGCAGAGGAGGGGGGTCGAGGCAGAGGAGGAGGAGGAGGAGGAGGAGGAGGAGGAGGAGGAGAAGGAGGAGGAGGAGGAGGAGGAGGAGCAGGAGGTGGAGCAGGAGCAGGAGGTGGAGAGGGAGGAGGTGGAGGAGGAGGAGGAGGAGGAGGAGGAGGAGGAGGAGGAGGAGGAGGAGGAGGGGGAGGAGGAGGGGAGGGGGAGGAGGAGGAAAAGGAGGAGGAGCGCGCGGGCGCAGCACGGCGCGCGCCGGTGCCGACCGCTTGCCCCGGAGGTCCGCTTGGACTCCGGTCCCCTGGAGCCGTGACGGGAGGAGGGTCGAGGCCCAGGCAGGCAACGCCCATCGAGGAGCAAACCACAGCACATACACAAATTCTCGGAGGTCCGCGCGGATTTCTTAGACCTGCGCTGGAACTGCCCTGGCGTCGCCTCTGGCGCTGCCCCTGGCGCGCTCCACTCGCAAGGGAGGGGGGTCCAGCGCGGATCCAAGGACTCCGCGCGGATCTTGACTCGTTATGCTCAAGCAGTGTTTTGTTTTTCTACTCGAGCAGAAGAAGGCGGCAGAGGAGGATCGAGGCCCAGACAGGCAACATCCTGGAAACATCGGAACGGATGCTTTTCTGAACGGTTGGCCTCTCGGGCACTGACTGGGTCTCATGATCGTCAGAAACGGCTCGGGACGAAAAACTGTCCCTAGGGACACCGCATGTCTGCAGGAGTATCGATGATCGACCTCGTAGAGAAGGAGGACCGATGATCGAGGAGTCTCGACGATCGAGGGCATGAACGTACACGTTCGGAGCTCCGCGCAGATTTCTCGGATCGGTGCTGGCTGGCCCCCCTGGCGGCGCCTCTGGCGCCTCCCCGAGTGAAGCGCCGATCCGAAAAGTCCGCGCGGAACTCCGACAGTTGATGCTCATGCGAGGCTGAGGCGGATCCAGCCGTGCGGCGAGAAGCGCCTCCAGCAGGCCCAGCAGCGACGGAGAGCGCCAGGCAGGGCCTCCGATGCCTCGACAGATCTGCGCTCAAGGTTCGAGGGGGTCGAGGCTCGAGGGGGTCGAGGGGGTCGACGTTCGAGTGGGTCCAGGGGATCGAGGTTCGAGGACGGAGGCTCGAGGATCGAGGCCACAGCGGCCTCTGGCGCGCACAGGCTTTCCATCACATCCTTGGGTCCTCGCGTCGTGAAAGGATCACGACGGGAGGTTTTCAACCTGCCTAACTTATCCCTGCCCCTAAGATCGACAAGACAAAAGGCGATGACAATATTAGGGATGTGTCCTCAGAAACTGAGGGAATCCCTACGAAGGGAATCGAGATGAGGCGATGCCCAGCATATGGATAGGGATCGGCCTGGGAAGGGGTCTTCGGGGGTTCAAACATCATCCAATATGATTTTGTTCAATCCGCGGCTCCAGGGCTCTCGACCCCTGTGCCCGGACTGGTTTTGGCGGTCCCAGGGCGCGATGACGGCCCCCTGGAGGCCGAAATCGATGAAGCAACGCCAGGACTGAACAAAATCATGCCGTCAGAGGGTGCGAAGGCCAAAATCGAGGAAAAACGCGCCAGGGCTGAAAACTCATACCTCGGCCACGCGCAAGGGTGACCCTTGGTCAGAGTGACCCTTGGGTGCGGGCCCACAGGGGCCCCCCTAGCACTGGCTGGCGAGCCTGGATTTGCCCCCCCCCCCCCCCCCCCCGAGGCCCCGCAAAGCCGCGCATCCAAGGCCACTCTTGCCCAGGGTGGTTCTGGCATGGAGCAGAAGCTCTGGGGGCCCACGCCGTGGCACAGCCGGGGAGGCCCAGGTGGTGCTTGGCCACCTCCGGCATCCGCAGGCCCGCCGATCCGGCCCCCCCAGGGCGCCGTGAGAGGTCGGTCCAACCGAGCAGGGCCCGTGATCGGGCCCCCCAGGGCCCCAGTCGTCGTCGTCGTCGTCGTCCGTCGTTGTCCGTCGTCGTCGTCGTCCTCATCGTCGTCGTCGTCGTCGTCGTCGTCGTCGTCGTCGTCGTCGTCGTCGTCGTCGTCGTCGTCGTCGTCGTCGTCCTCATCGTCCTCATCGTCGTCGTCGTCGTCGTCGGTCGTCGTCCGTCGTCGTCCGTCGTCGTCGTCGTCGTCGTCGTCGTCGCCGCCGCCGCCGCCGCCGCCGCCGCCGCCGCCGCCGCCGCCGCCGCCGCCGCCCCCCGCCGCCGCCGCCCCCGCCGCCGCCGCCGCCGCCGCCCCCGCCGCCGCCGCCGCTGGCGCCGCCGCCGCCGCCCCCGCCGCCTCCGTCGCCGCCGCTGCCGTCCGTCGTCCGTCGTCCGTCGTCCGTCGTCCGTCGTCCGTCGTCCGTCGTTGTCCGTCGTCCGTCGTCGTCGTCGTCGCTCGAGATTCGTCGCCGTCATCTTCGGTGTCGCTCGAGATTCGTTTTCGAGGTTCGTCGTCGTTGTCGTCGTCGTCGTCCTCGTCGCTCGAGGTTCGAGGTGTTTTGGCGCTTCTCGCCCTTCTAGGGTGTGGGGGGTGTCGTCGGATTTGGGCCGTCGCTGTCCTCCTTCGCGGGTCTCCCGCCGAGACGCCGGCCAGCAGCGCACAGAGGTGCGCACGGGCGCCGCCGCCGCAGAGCCGCCGTCGTCCCTGGCCCGCCGTCGAAGTATGATTTTTTCAACTCGGGCATTTTATGATACAGTGGACGCTCCTAGTAAGGGCGCACGCCTTCATCTAGGGTGCCCTTGTGTACTTGCCTCTGCGGCCCGTTCTGTGCCGTTTTCACTGGCCCAGCCCGACAAATCCCAACTTCGGTCTCCAAGGGTCTTGCGTTCTTCCTACCCGTCCTTAATACACGGTGTGACTGTACATTGGTCACCCTCTCTCTTTTTGGGCTTCGCTGATAAACCTGCTAAAGGCTCCTCCCCCGCTGGGGAGGGAAATTGGCCGTTGCTGGCCCTCCGGACTGAAGCCAGATATGCTGCGTCAGAGTCGTAATGACAGCAATGACCCTCCCACCTACCTCCGGCCACCGTGGGCCTCTGTCTGGCCCAGGGGCCGCCGGACACAGATCAGGGGCGCAACACACGATACCCCAGGAAAAGCGGCCGGGACCTCAGATTCAGGGGTGGCGGAGCGGAAACATGGTCCTCGTCGTTTTCGTCGTCGTCTTCGTCGCCGTCGCCATCGCCGTCGCCGTCGTCGTCGTGGTCCGTCGTCCATCGTCGTCGTCGTCCGTCGTCGTCGTCGTCCGTCGTCGTCGTCGTCCGTCGTCGTCGTCGTCGTCGTCGTCCATCGTCGTCGTCGTCGTCGTCGTCGTCCATCGTCGTCCATCGTCGTCGTCGTCGTCGTCCATCGTCGTCGTCGTCGTCGTCGTCGTCGTACTCCGTCGTCGTCGTCCGTCGTCGTCGTAGTCGTCGTCGTCGTCGTCGTCCGTCGTCGTCGTCGTCGCCGTCGTCCGTCCCTCGGCACGGTGACGCCGACCTTGGCACCCGTCGTCGTGGTCGCCGCCGCCGCCGCCGTCGCAGTCCCTCGGCGCGAGGCGCCGATCTGCACGCCGCGGACGCCTGGGACGACACGCCCCTGCACACGGCCGCCCGCGCTGGGCGCGCCGGGGTGTGCGGGCTGCTGGTGGAGCGGGGCGCGAGGCCGGCGGCGCGCCAGCAATGGGGCTCGGCATCGCTCGGGCGTGTGCGTCCTGCGCCTGCGAGGACCACCGGGGAGCGGTCTCGACCCTCGGGCCAACAAAACACGCACGAAACCGAAGAGTGCACGGGGCATGGGCGTCCGAGCGACGGCGGGGGCGGGGGCGGTCGTTGGCGGCCCATGCCTCCCGAGAGACAGTCCGTCGACGCCTCGGCGAAGAGGACCCTCGAGGAGCAGCACCGTGTCGTCGAAGGCGGCTCCCCTTGCCACCAGGGGGGCTCCCAGCCACCAGGGGCAAGGCCACCCCTCGACACCGCGCGGGGCACGCGAAGCGGGTAGGCGAACGTGACCTGGCCCGTCCCCGCCAAAAGAGGGAGGAGGAGGAGGAGGAGGAGGAGGAGGAGGAGGAGGAGGAGAATACACGATCTCGATCCCCAAATCGCTGATTGACCAAGGTTGCGAGAATCGTCTGAAAAGATTTTGGGGTCTGGCTTGCGTTTGCCGTAGCTCCCCGCGCAAAACACTGCCCCCAAATCTCTCTTTCCCAAGTTGCGATGAGCATGCGTTTTGTCAGAGCACTCGCGTTTCCGGTGTTGGGCGGCTGTCTTGGGCTAGTGAGATAACAGGCGTGTCATCCGTGACCAGGGAGGGGGGAGGGGGGCGGCGGGGCCGGTCACGGACGTTGTCGCCAAGAACAGAAAGACGTGTTCCAATTGGGGTCCGAGTGGACCGGGGCGGAGGATGGCGCCACAGCGCCGATGCATCGGCGATGCGGCTTGATGTGGAGCTAAAAGTTGTCCACGCCGACGTTGCCAATGCATCGCCAATGCATCGCCGACCCATCGCCGATGCATCAGCGTCGGCGCGTGTGCACAGTGTTTCGGCCCTGGGAGCCGAACAGCCATGCACCGTACCGCGTTCGGGCGGGGCCTGAAGGGAGTCCAAGCATGGTGCGGTGCATGGGTGCCGTTCTCGCACAGAAGGCCGCCCCCCCCTCGGCGTCAGCTCCTTGTGGGCGCTGCCAGCGAGGCTCGACGCGGCCAACGCGCAGTCGTGGACCCCGCTGGTGGTCGCGGGCCATGCGGAGCACCGCGACGTCTGCCTCCTGCTGCTCGGCTCCGAGGGGCAGAACAAGCCTGTCGGCTCCGATGCCCATCGCGAGACCCCCTTGCGTTGCGAGAAAGACGCGGTGGAAAGTCCTTTCGGGGAAGCACCCCCTCCTCCTCCTCCTCCTCCGCCTCCTCCCTCCTCCTCCTCCCTCCTCCTCCTCCTCCTCCTCCTCCCTCCTTCTCCCCCTCCTCCTCCTCCTCCTCCTCCTCCTCCTCCTCCTCCTCCTCCTCCCTCCTCCTCTTTCTCCTCCTCCCTCCTCCCTCGTCCCTCCCGATAGTCATGTTTGTTTCAATCTGGAGGTGCTTCCTTGACTTCGGCCTCTGGTGCCCGTTGTCGGGCCCAGGGGCAGGGATACATTTTGTGAACCGCATCCTCTGGCACGCCAGAGGAACAAAGACGTGTCTGTGTGCGTGCCCGACTGTCTCCGCCGCGTCGCTGAACGCGTGGCCGCGACGCCGTGTTTTATCCGTGCGTGTTGCATCGCGTCCGCGTTTCGCAGTCAGCCGCGAGTCGGAGGAAGCGTGCGTGCGTGTGTGTGTGTGTGTGTGTGTGTATGTGTGCGCGTGTATACATATAACGGGGGACCGGGTCCGGGGGCCGGGGGCCAGAGCCTCGACCGCAAATGTGGGGCCCGGGGCCCGGGCCCGCCTCTGGGAGGCCTAAAATCGCCCCCAGGAGCCCTCAGACGGCAATCCCGGCGGCCCCAGATGGTCTCGAGACACCCCCAAGACGCCGTCCAGGGGTCTCTGGCGACGCACGATGCGTTTCAAGTTGCCCTGGAGGCCCCCAAGACGCCCCAAGAGGCCTTTAAGATGCCGCCCAAGAGCGCCTCGAGAGGGCAAAAACGTAGATTTTGATTGATTGTTTCAATGTTTTTTGCATTCTCGCTGTTTCGTGTTTCAGGCGCTAAAGCACCGCCCAAGAGGCTCCCAAAACCGCTCCAAGACGGCCCAAGAGGCAGAGAGCCCCGAGACAGCCCCAGAGCCGCCCTAGACGGCGCAAGAGGGTCCCAAGAAGGCCCCAAAAGGGGCCCAAGAGAGGGAACGCGAACCGAAAAAGCAAGCTCTCCGCCCCATGATGCCCCCAAGAGGCCCCAAGATGCCCCCAGGAAGCCCCCAGGAGGCCCCAAGCGGCCCCCAAGAGGCCCCAAGAGACCCCCAAGAAGCCCAAAAGAGGTTCCAAGAGGCCCCAAGACGGCACCCAAAAGGCTTTAGAATTCTTTCTAAGAGGCCCCCGAAGACATGACAATAAGGTCCCATGACGACTTCAAGAAGCAGTCCAGGATGCTCCGAGGAGGCCCCAAGAAGCTCGCTAGAACTTGAGCGCGCGCGAAGCGCGCGCGATGGTTCTAGTGTGTATGTATGTGTATGTGTATGTGTATGTGTGTGTGTGTGTTCGTGTGTTCCTGTGTGTGTGTGTGTGCGTGTGCGTGTGCGTATGCGTGTGCGTGTGTGCGTTTGCGCGTGTGTGCGTGTGTGCGTGTGTGCGTGTGTGTGCGTGTGTGTGTGTGTGTGTATGTGTGTGTGTGTGTGTGTCTGTGTGTGTAAGTGCGCGCGCGTGTGCGTGTGTGTGCGTCTGTTCCCTCTGCCGCGTTAGCTGGCCTGGCCGCGCGCTCGTCTCCTTCAACTGTCTACGCCGCGCCGCCGCGCGCGTGGCCGCGACGCCAAAACATGTGTGCGTGTGTTTTTGTTTGTTTGTTTGTGTTCATTTGACTTGTTTCATTGCGACGGCTCCCCAGGGTCATTATCCGATCCAGCCGACCAGCCGATCAGGCCCTAACCAGCCGATCAGCCGATCAGTTAGACTGTTCGGCGGATTGGCTGATCGGCTGAGTGGCTGATCGGCTTGTTGGGGGCTGATCGGCTGTTTGGCGCCTGATCGGCTTATCGGCTGGTTAGCGGCTGATCGGCTGATTGGCCAGTTGGCCCTTGATCGGCTGATCGGCTGATCGGCTGGCGATCGCCTGATGGCTGATCGGCCGATCTATCACACTCGCTCGTTCGCGGCCCCAATTGTGGGGACGTCTCGAGCGAGGTGCCTGTTTGGCTTCACCGACTCCTTTGCTATCAGAGCAGCTCGTGAGGATGCCCTGAGCAAGGCGCCTGTTTTGGCACCCCAAGGAGAAGCCGTCAGGTACATTTCACTCGCCCGCTCGCGGCCAGATTGCGGGGATATGCCGTGCGAGGCGCTCGATTGGCATCCCCGACTCCTCTGCATTCAGAGCCCCATTCCAGAGTCATTTGTGCTCGAGATCTTCACGTCGAGAGAAGAGAGAGAGAGAGAGAGAGAGGGAGAGAGAGAAAGCGGGAGAGGGGGAGAGAGACAGAGAGCGAGAGAGAGACAGAGACAGAGAGTGATGGGGGCAGCATTTGACAGCTGCGCGGAGCCAATTTGTCACCGCCTCGGGTTGTGCAAGCCCGCCTGTGCGCGTGTGACGTCTTTCGCTTTGAGCGGGCGACTAATCCTGCCTCCTCCTTCCCTCGCCGTCGTCCCGGCCCCTCACGCTCGCAGAGGGAGGATTTGGCGGGAGATTTGGACCTTCCTCTTTCTCCTCACCCCCCGCGTCAGCGCGCGCCCGAGTTCTGGAAGATGGGGGGGAAGAGGAGGATGAGGAGGAAGAGGTGGAGGAGGAGGACGATGACAAGGAGAACGATGAGGAGGAGGAGGAGGAAGAGGAGGATGAGGAGGAGGAGGAGTTTGAGCAGGAGCAGGCGCAGGAGAAGGCATGAGCGCGGAGAAATTCTTCAGGCTTCGCGTATCCCCACCACCATCGGCGACTCATTCTGCTGTCTTCGCACTTGTAGCTCGTGCCCTCCGGTTCGCTGCTGCGCCTACGTGCGTGCGCCTGCGAATTAAGTTCATTTTGTACTGTGCATGTGCAACTGCGAGCATGTCTTGCAGATGCGCACGGCTGTCGACAGTGGCGGCTGTACGCAAATTCGCTCCGTACCGCATCCCGGACGCTGCGTCCGCTCCCTGACATTTGCCTTGGAGCCGCGAACCAAACGCGTATCCCCACCAGCTGCGCACGCACGGTGGCATCGCTTGGCCAGTGGCCATTCGGATCCTCTTTCCGTGCCGCGCCGTCCAATTTGGCCCCGCCTCCTTTGTGGTTCGGCTGGAGCTTGGCGCCGAAAGGGCGACTTCTCCCCTCCGCGCCTTGGCGTCCCCACCCGCTGGGATGTCTGTGCCGGTCACCTGCCGACGCCGCTGGCGTCTCAATGAGGGTCATTTTGTCCCTGGCATGTGCATACGCCACTGCGGCCAATTATCTTCGTTCCGCGCCCCGGACGTTGACCCGCTCCATGTCCTTCGCCCTGGAGCCGCCGACCAAAAAAAAAATATCCCCATCAGTTGCCTTCCGCTCCGTGTCCGCCGCCTCGGAGCCGCTGGCCAAACAAAAATATCCCCACCAGCTGCTTGCCCATGCTCACGCCCCCTCTGGGCACCCAGCTCGACCTACGACAGTCGGTTCACTTGGCTGCGGCCACCCTGGCACCTTCGTAGTAGTCTTGGGGCTTGCGCCCTTGCAACTAATTCCCCGTCTGCTGCAGTCCCTGGTCGCCGGTCTCCCTGGCCGCCTGCTGCTTCCGACGCGTTGCATGCGTGCACCCTGGCAGTATCGTTATCCAGTTTACCGCCAGCCTTTTCCACTCGCCGGCCCGCCGCTGAGGTGCTGCGTGAGGCTCTGGCCCACCGCTTTAGGTTAATTCGTCTTTGCGCGCCCGCTCTGACTGGACTCGCCGCTGGCGCTTTCGCCTGCGGCCGCTGATTCAAAAAGTATCCCCACCAGCCGGCTTTAGGTGAATTCGTCTTTGCGCGGCCCGCTCTGACTCGACACGCCGCTGGCGCTCTCGCCTGCGGTCGCTGACAAAAAGTATCCCCACCAGCCTCTCCTGTCCGCAGAGTCTGCGCAACATTGAGCACCCCCGCAGGCGGTAGCGCCGCCCCAGCGGAACCCACCGAGTCCGCCTCCGATATGTCTCCCGCGGAGGCACCCGAGGACGCCCCCGCCCCCGACAGCGCCGCGCCGCCGGCCAGGACATCGGCCGCCGTCGACATCAACCCGACTCCACTTCAACCCCAGGTCGGCCAGTCGGAGATGCCGCCCCAAGCCCCCCAGCAGACATTCAGGCCAGCAACCCAGCCTCCCCAGTCGCCGAGTCCATGGTGGCCGACCCCCTTCACATCGGAGGCGATGGGGCCGCCGACGCCCCCTCCAGAAGGGCCACATCTCCCGCGCCCGGCGCCCCCCCCGGGGGGTACCGCCGCCAGGGCGAGACCGCCACGCGCGACGCGGACAACCGAGGACGCCCGTGGGACAACTATCGCGCTCGGAGAGCCTACGGCTCCGACCGCGAGGCCTACAGCCGGGAAAGGGGTGGCTGGACAAATTGGGGAGATGGGGGCAACACTACTTACCGTGGGGCGTCACGGGGCCCCGCCCGTACCCAGCGGCCGTACACGGAAGGCCAGATTGCCTCAGGGCCCAGCACCGCCCCCCCGAGCGGCCTGACCGACCCGGACACTGGCTGGTACATGCACATGGCCCCCCTGAACGAGGTCGACCTTGCCCCCATCGGTGACGAGAGCCATGCTTCCGCGGTGAAGCGCCTCCAGAGAGAGTTCGGGGAGTACTTCAGCGGCATCTGGCACCAGTGGTGCTACCAGCACCCCCCCAGGAACTGCCCCGCTTGCGTAGACCCGTCCAGGCAGGACCCAGGGTCCTGCGAGGAGTTCCTCCGGGCATGGCGTCGCCACGACTACAACCCGCTGGCCATGGACAGAGCCCTCTACTTGCGACGCCGCGCTTCTACTCACCACTGGCAGCCGCAGCGCTGCTGCTCTGGCGCTGACCCTCACTGGGTGCGCGGCCCATCTCAGCCATTCCATACCCGTACTTGCGACCGTTAGTCGCCCCTCGGCTTTCCCTCGCTTGCGGCCCTCGCCGCCCCCCCTTGTCCTGCCTCGCACTCCCTGCGTGCCTCGCAAGACTTGCGCCTGTCAGTCGCCTCTGCGTCCGTCCCCGGCGCGGCTCCCATCCCCCCCTCGCGGGTGCCAGCCCCTATGCGCCCGAACGCCCCGCCCTCGGACTCTTTCCCCCCCTGCCTGCCGGGCCCCTCGCCCGCCCTCCCCGCGGCCCCCCCTGGGGCCGCTCTGGCTTCGCGCCCAATGCCGCCAGGCGCGTGCCTCAGCTGGGGCTGTCGGCGCGCGCCTCGCCTCCCAGTGCGCCCTTGTCACTGGGTTAGCTTGTGGCTCCTCGCCCGCTGGCGCCCGCCTCTGCCCCTGGGGTCTCAGACTCGTCTGAGACGTCGTTTCACTGCCGTGGGCTGCTTCCCCACGGCGCCCCGCCAAGCGGCCCATGCTCTGCACAAAAGCGCCGCCTGGGCTCCACCTTCTGCCGCATGGCCGGCGTGGGCCGTCCCTTTCGGTTGTCAGCCCGCCCTCTGCTGCCCCTCCGCCTCGGCCTCTCCGCCCCGCGGCCCTGGCCTACGGCAATCCCCCACCTGCCTGGGGTCGGCTGACCTCTCTCTCGGTCACCCCCCACCGCGCGGGTTTCTCCCCGACGGTCCCCAAGCGGGATCCATCCTGCTCGCGGTTGGACGCTCACATGGCGCGCTCCACTGCCTTCGGTCGTCTGGATCGGTTCTACCCCGGTGCGCGAGCGCCCGCCCGCACCCCCCGCGTTGCGGCACGCGGTCTCGACACCAGTTCCTGGTGGTGTCTGGCGATCCGGACTCTGGTCTGTTGAGCGCTTGCACGTGGGTTGGTCGACGCCTGGCGGCGCGTGTGACTCGACCACCACCTTGAGACGGAACGACCGTTGGTCCTGTCGCCTGTTCCTTGCGGTGCGTCTACTAGCCGGTGGTCTGCGTCTTCAGTTCGCTCGCGGTGTCGTTCAACCAGAATTCCCTGCCATGTTGGCGATGCACTCCGCCTGGCGTTTCCCCTCCAGACGACGGTTCCTCCTTCCGCTGTCCTCTCATCGCCTGTCCCCCTCCCCCTGGTGCGCAATTCGCTCGTAGCCCATTGCTGCGACCTTTGACGGCGGCCGGCTCTCCCGGCGCGCTCACGATCAAAACAATATCCCCACCAGCCCATTAACAAACACTGCCCATGAGAGTTGACGGGGAAAGGGGCGAAGATACACATGCAATGAAACAAAGCGGGCAAGCAGGTTTAACCGAGAGACTTGCGGAGCAAGGGTGTGGCCCCGGAGGGCCTTTTCGGACCATCCTTTGGGCCCGCGTGGGGGCGAGGGAGGAGGAGGAGGAGGAGGAGGAGGAGGAGGAGGAGGAGGAAGAGGAGGAGCAGGATGAGGAGGAGGGGGAGGAGGAGGGAGACGACGACGACCACCACCACGGCGACGACGAGGAAGAGGAGGAAAGGGAAAAGCAAGAATATGAGGGAAAGGACGAGGAGGAGGAGGAGAAGGAGGAGGAGGACCAGTGCAAAACCAAGAGTCATCGACGATGTTGGAATTCACCCTCCCTCCAAGCTCCCTCTTCCTAGACCCCCACAATGGTTCATTTCCATCGAGGGAATTGTTTTGTTGACAGACATCCGTTTGAAAATCCTGAAGCATGGCAAAAAATTGTTTTCGGGATTTCAACGCCACGTATCAACCTGATTTCTGCGTCTTGGCGATCCGGAAATCGTGCCAGAACGCCATGTTTGGGACTTCAACACCCCGAATCAACAGAAATGTTGCGCACGCATAATCTTGAAACCTTCCAAAAAACCTGTTCTGGTACGCTTGCAAAATTTGAAAATGAATGTGCGCGGTGCTGAGGCAAGAACCACATTTTGAAAAGGAGCCGCCCTCAATCCGCGAAGCTCTTGCAAATTTTGAGAACGAATGCGCGCGGCGCTAAGGCGAGGGCCATATTGTGAAAGCCACCCGCCCTCAATCCTATGAGTGCACACGGGGATCATGCGAGAGCCACATTCTGAAAGCTACCCACCCTTAATCCGTGAAATTCCAGCAACGTGTGAAAACGAATGTGCGCGGCGCTAAGACAAAAAAACACACTTTGAAAAGGAACCGCCCTCAATCCGTCAGACTCCTGCAAATGTTGACAACGAATGCGCGCGGCGCTCGTGTGAGAGCCACATCTTGAAAACCACCTTCCCTCAATCCGTGAAGCTCTCACACAGTTTGAAAACGAATGTGCGCGGCGCTAATGCGAGAGCCACGTCTTGAAAGCCACCCGGCCTCAATCCGTGAAGCGCTTGCACATTTTGAAAAGGAATGCGCGCGACGCTGAGGAGAGAGCCACATTTTGAAAGCCACCCGCCCTCAATCCGTGAGGCTCTTGCAAATGTTGAAAACGAATGTGCACGGCGCTGAGGAGAGAACCACATTTTGAAAAGGAGCCGCCCTCAATCCGCGAAGCTCTTGCAAACTGTTGCAACAAATGCGCAGGCGCTGAGGCGAGAGCCACATTTTGAAAGCCACCCGCCCTCAATCCGTGAAGCTCTTGCAAAGTTTGAAAACGAATGTGCGCGGCGCTAATGTGAGAGCCACGTCTTGAAAGCCAGCCGCCCCCAATCCGTGAAGCTCGTGCAAATTTTGAAAACGAATGTGCGCGGCGCTGATGAGAGAGCCACATTTTGAAAGCCACCCGCCGTCAATCCGTGATGCTCTTGCAAATGTGTATAAAGAATGTGCGCGTCGCTGAACTGAGAGCCACATTTTGAAAAAGACCCGCCCTCCATCTGTCAAGCTGCTGTTACTTCCTAAGTTTCAGAATCATAAATAGTGAGGAAGTCTCAGGCGAAACGCCCGGCCCGCCCTAAAAACTGGCCTCGGGGTGCGACAGGGAGGAGTTATCTACACGGAGAAGAAATGGGTGAGGAGGAGGAGGAGGAGGAGGAGGAGGAGGAGGAGAAGGACAACGAGCACGAGGACAGAGCGTTCAACGTAGACTTTGGGAGCCCGGGGCTCTTTTGGGGATCATTGCCTTTCCGTGGGGCTCCTTTGGGGGGTCTCGGGGCCCTCTTGGGCCTGTCTTCGGAGCCCTGGAGGGCCTCTTTAGGCCATCTTGGAGGCTATCGGTCAAAAGAGGGGGTCTTCGATTTGCCTCCTCCCCAGGGACCATCAATTTCGCCTATTCGGGCCCTCTTGGGGCGCTCTTGGGCCGCTCTTGGGCACTCTTCGGGCCGTTTGGGGGAGCCTCTTGGCCTCCTTTGGGCCTCTCCTAGACCATTCCGGAGCCATCTTGAGGCCGCAAGACCGCATCGGACGCGAAAGTGCGAGAAGTCACAACACATTGACTTTCCGAAGGTTGTTCAAATATTTTGGCCTCGCGGGGGGGTCCTGATGGGGGCTCTGAGAGCACTTGGAACCGTCTTGTGGCCCTCGTCAGGCATCCTGGAGGTATGTCAGAAGCTGTCTTGAACAATCGTCGGCTATCTTGAGCCGTCTTAGAGGCCATCTTGGAACATCAGACCCCCTCTTGAAGCCATCTTGGGGCCTCTTGAGCGCCCTGAGACTTCGCGACCCGCTCCAAAAAAACCTTAGGGAGGGGAGGGGGAGGGTACCCTTCCCCTAAGAAAAAAGAGTATTCGGAAGAGGAAAGGACGAACTCGTTAGACTATCTTTGCCCAAATGGCTGGTGGGGTTAGAAGGAGTTGGAAGGCTCTCCCCTGTTTGTCCTCCCTCCTGCCTCCTCCTCCCTACTTCTCTGTCTCCCTGTCATTGTGTCGGGTGAGCTTGTCACGGCCGCAACAACCGCGGTGAGAATGAGACGAAGAAGGAGGAGGAGGAGGAGGAGACCGATGAGGAAGTACAGTAGGGGGGTCGAGCATTCGATACGCCGATAAACTGATGAGGGGCCGAGCCGCCGATCGGCCCATCACTCTTATCGGCTGATCGGCTGCTCGGCCGCTGATCGGCTGATCGGCTGATCGACTGGGCTTGAATACCATCCAGGGTCGCCGTCGCCTTGGCTTGTTTTCCATCAATTTGTGTTTTGTGCGTTTCGTGCGCAGTGCGACTCGGCACTCAGAGGTGGCCAGCAGCACCAGTCCGGCCGAGCGCCATGCCGCGGCCCGCGGGCGCAAAACGAGTGCCTCGCGTATGTTTTCGCGACGTGCTGCGTGACATAATCCAGACATCCGATGTCCTGATTTTGCTCATGCCGGGCCCCCGGGAACGTTGCGCCGCCGCGACGAGGTCTCCTCATGACGGCGTTTGGTCGCCACCGCCTGATCCGCCTCGAAAGCGGGTCGGGATGGACTCCAGGAGGGGGCCGGGCGGGAGAGCTGCCGTTGTCTCGAGTGACCCTCCTCCGAAATTCAGGGTCCCCAGAAGCCCCCCTCCTTTCCACAGGGCTGGCTCTTCATCCCGAGCCGTCTCCGAGGAGGGCCGTGGCGGAGATCGCTGGGTGTGCCGCGGCGAAGATCGCTGGGCGTGGCGTGGCCCCGCCCCCCAGGCATGGGCGCTGGCGTGGGTGGGCTGCCGCGAAAAGAGCTGCCGGCGCTGCTGCGGGAGTTGCTGCCCGGCGACGAGGACGATCGGCCGCACGCGGAAGAGAGACAGAGATAGAGAGAGAGAGAGATAACAAAAAAAGAAAAACACGACGCCTCTCCAGAGAGCGGCCTCTTCGGGTGCGGGCCCAAGCCCAGGGCAAGGGTGTTCGCGGTTCGGTCGGCTCGGCTGCGTCGCAGTCGATTGCGCTCGGTCGGCCCGGTTCCGTCGGTCGAACTGCCGATGCCGCGCCGCTGCTACCTCCTGAGTGGGTTGCTTGCGGCCTATCGGTTCGGGCGGTTTCGGTGTCGTTGCCGATTCGGTCGGACTCTGCCGTCGCCGTGGAAAGGACGGCCCTGCAGGAGGGTAAGGCTCGGGCTTGCGCGCAGACACAGCCCCCTGAGGTGGCCCCGCCTGGCCTCAATTGGCCCCCCCGAGTAGTCCAGGGCGGTCCCGGCACCCGAACCCTGGGGCCCCGAGCCCGGCGCCCCAGGGGCGCCGCCCAAGGCGGCGCTGGGGTATCGCGACCGCGCCAGGCTACAGTCTGGGGACTGCCTCGGGGGCGGTCTGTGCGCAGTCACGAGTGCTACCACAAAGGGGCCCCCCAGCACTGGCCTGCGCGCATGAGAACAAGAAGACATACGAATTATACTAACCGCAACGAAAAATGAATACAACTAATACGAATAATCAGAAGTATACTGATACGTAATAACAATGAGAAGAATAATACTATGAACATGAATATGATTGAGCAGAAGAATAGAACAATCGGCGTGAGCATGGCGGTCCGCGTGCATTTCTTGGAGCGTGCATTTCTTGGATCGGCGCTGGACCCCCTGGCGGAGTCGGCGCGCTCTGCGCGCAAGGTGGGAGGGTCTAGCGCCGATCCGATAAATCCGCACGGACCTACGAAAGCTTATGTGCATGTGTGCTGTTTCTCCGGGTGAGCACTCAGATCTGGGCGACGCCACAACATAGTGGGTGGTGCGCTTCTCAACGTTGTTGGCATCTGGACGTCGTTTTCTAGACCCAGAGCCGTGGAAACACGACCCGGGGATTGGAATGCCCGCCTCGGAGGAAAGAACCTCTGTTTTTATGCCCTTTGTTCCCCAATCAGTGCTTGCACTGAAGGGGTCCTAGCAGAAGCTGAAAGATCTGGCGAAAGTTTCTCGCCGACTTTTGGTAGCAGGCTGGGTTCCGGGGTTCCCGTTCCCAGGGTTCCGTGTTTTCGGTTACAGGCCGATTTCAGTGGGTTCAGGGTTTCTTGGGTTCCTGGTCGATTTCCTTATCTATCTCTTTATCGATCCCACGATTCATGATCGATCTCATTATTCATCTCACTCAATCGATCTCACCATCGATCTCATCAAACTATCTACTGATTGGGGCTTCTCTCTGGTGTAATTCAGATAACTTTTGCTGCAGCCGCGCACTAGATGTCACCCCTGTCCCGGGCGGGCCTACGGCCGCTACTCCCTGCGTGCAGCCGGGAGGAGGAGCCGCCCGCGGCCGTCGCCCTCGAGGGCGCGCGCCCCCAGTGGCCGACCGACGAGGACTGGGAGGAGCACATGAAGGAGCCACGGCTCTCGAGGGAGGAAGCAAGACGGCCCCGGCCGAGGTGTCCTGGGATCTTGCCGACGCCGATCTTGGTCGTGGTCCGCGCCAGCCGCCGTCGAGTCGCGCGGTCGATCCACGAAACCGACGGTGACCAGAGCGGGCGATGACCAAGATTGGCGCGACGTTGCCGCGTTCAATCTTGGTCATCGTCATCACAGACAGTCTCCGTCTTCTTTCCCTCCAGGCTCCGAGATGCCCAGATGTGACGATCTGATGTTTTCGGTCTCAGGGGATGAATGTCATTGTACCGATGGCGCTGCTTGTTCTGGAGGGCTCTCGTTGCCACGGCTGAATTCGATTCGAAATTCTGGTTCAGGAGAGGTCCGGAGAGTGGCAGTATCGGTACATGTTCGTAGTCGTTTCGCGTAACCCTACCAGCCGCGCGCTTAGTGCCTGATTTAGTCTGCTGCTCGTTAGCCGCGCTTCGACTTGACGCCGAGCGATTTGTCGCTACGTTCGCGATCAAACAAGTATCCCCACCAGCCGCTGGACGCTCACCTGTGAGCGTCTTCACTTGCAAGTCAGCTCGTGCCGACCAGCTTTATGTTCTGGTTCGCGCTCGCGGGGCCCTCGGTGTCGGTTCTCGGCTACCTGAATTTCTACCTGTACGGCAAGGTTGGCCCTTGGGTTGCTCGGTATCGGCTACTGGGCGGCACTGCCGTCTGGCACGGTCGCCTGTTCCTGCTTGTCCACTACTCGGGTCGTCCGCCTACTTCTCGGCGTACTGCTTCACGGTGTTTCTCTTCTGCCACCTGGTCGCCTTCTCGCGCCAGTTTGGCTGCGTCTACCACCGGCACGCGGCGAGCTTTTTGCACGCATCCTCCTCCGTTCCCTTCTGCGTCTTCTTCGCTTTCTTCCTATGCTTCCCGGTCCCCGTGCTCGCCGCGCCCACGTGGTCTTCGTCACCCGCACGCTCGTCTGCTTGTTCGCCTGGTTGGTACCGCGGCTCGCGCGCCGTTGTCAGCGCTGCTTTTGCCTTCTCTACTGGCGCGGCCCGCCGTAGCACGCTCGGCGTTCGATCGAGCGCCTGCTAACCAAAAGTAGCCCCACCAGCCCATTCAGAAACGATGCCCCGACGAGTTGCCTTGGGTAAGGATGTGGGGGAGAATGCAGTGGAATGAAGGGCTGGGCAAGACGTGGTGGTCCCCCAAGAGGGGGAAGATGGAGGAGGAGGCGGATGAGGAAGAGGAGGAGGCGGAGGAGGAGGAGGAGGAGGAACACGAGGAGGAGAAAGAGGAGGATGATGATGATGATGATGATGAGGAGGAGGAGGAGGAGGAGGGGGAGGAGGAATTGGACCATCTTGGGGCCATCTTGGAGGAGATCGATCAAAGGAGGGGAGCTCTCCAATCAGGCCCTCCCCCAGGAGGCCAACATTTGGCCAACACCTTCGTACAAGTATATAATGATTTGGTTTCCTCACCGAGGCCATCTTGGACGCTTCAACCCCTCGCAGAAGGCCCAGTCCAGACCCAGGGGGAGGGGGGAGGGGGAGGGGTAAGCCTTGCCCGAAGGGGAAAAAGGGGGTTGGCAGAAGAAGCCCACTAAGCCACTCACGACCCAGAGGGCTGGTGGGAGTTGCCCTCCCCACAGTCTGGCGTTGTTTCCTGATCTCGACCTCTGGGGCCCGTGGTCGGACCCCGGGGGGCCACCGAGAGCGGCTTTGGGGCTCAAAGACTGCCCCGTGTGTAGCAGCCGGGTGCTCCGCGTGGGGTGAAGGACGGAACAAAACCGATCGGCGGATGCCTGGGAAGGGGGGGAGGAGGAGGAGGAGGAGGAGGAGGAGGAGGAGGAGGAGGAGGAGGAGGAGGAGGAGGAGGAGGAGGAGGAGGAGGAGGAGGAGGAGGGGGAAGGGGACCGCTGCCGAGACCGCTGCCGCTTCGCGCCCTGCAGAGCCTTCTCTCGCGTCGCCACGGCCAGCCTCGCCCCGAACTCCTGGCCAGCACGCGGGGAGCAGCGGCACCTGTCAAGCTGCGGCAACCAGGACCGCTTGGGGCTCAGGTCAGGGGCAGCGATAGGGGGGGGATAGGCATAGGGGGGGATGCATCGACCCCAATCGCCCATTGATCGCCGATAAGGTCCCGATAGCCCCAACCTGCCCAGGAAGGTGCGAATTCACTATCGGAGGCCTGTCGCCGATCTATCGGCGATGTATCGCCGATTCCAGGTCGATGCATCCCCCCCTATCGTTGCCCCTCACTGGGGCTCAGGAGAGGCTCGAAGAATAACACAACGGCATAAACATATAATCATTTGGCGCTCCGCGCGGATTTCTTGGATCCGCGCTGCCCCCCCCCCCCCCCGGCGGCGCCTCCGGCGCCGCCCTCGGTGCGCGGAGCGCGCCAGGGAGGGGGGTTCAGCGCGGATCCAAGAAATCCGCGTGGAGCGCAAAAAAGTTTATGTATATGTAGTGCTCGTCTTCTTCTATCTGGTTCCCAGGGCATTCCTAAAATCCAGGTCCTGGCTGCGGCTCACCGTGGCCAGGGAAGCCCTTGCGTACATTGTGCAGTGCTCCTCTTGGTATCACGATGGATGCGCCCTTGTGTCCATAGGCTCCAGGGTGCCCCCGAGTGGACGACGACAGCGGTGACGGCTTCTTTGTTGCCAGAGCTTCGGGGGAGTTTCGACGCTTACTCGTCGCCACGGCTTGGCGCGGCTCGGATCACGTGCCAGGACGGGCCCTGGGAGGGGTCCAGGGGCCGATGTTGCCTGGGTCCACGGATCGATCGGCCTCGGCGAGGATTGTGGTCGTGTGTTTTATGCGATGCTGTGTCTTTCCCGCGACGTCGGATATCAAGGTCTCCCCGTCCTCCTCTCGCCCATATCCCCAACCTTCCTCCCTTCCCCAGTGTTTCTTCGTTCCTCCCTCCGCCATATGTCCGCCCCTCGCTCCAGCTTCTTCCCTCCTATAACGCCTGAGCCTTCTCCTCCCCTCCGGCTCATCCATCTCCCCGCTGCCACCGCCCGCCGACAACAGATGATTGCAGCGACCTTGCCTATGGGTTGCGCTCTGACTCGCCCAAGCCAGGCTCATTCGGCTCCCAACGCAGCCGTGTTGCAGCTGGCTGCCGCGTGCAGCACGGCGCCGTGCGACCGTGCTCGTGCGCGCGGCAGCTCGCCCGCCACCCCTCGAGCTGGTCTGCCGCGCGCCCTTCCCCGACGCCGTTGGCTTGGGATGCCGTGCGGCCGCGCCCGGCCCCCGCCTCTCTGTGGCCAGTGCTCCTCCTCCTCTGCTTCCTCCTGCTCGTCCCTCCTCGTCCTCGTCCTGCCTCCTCCAGTTTCTCCGTCTGCATCCCTCCGCCCCCTGTTCTCCTCATGGATTGTGTCCTCCTCTCAGATAATATGTTTTCCCGAGTTTGCCCTTCCTGACTCTGACCCCCAGAAGTCTGATCCCCCATTAGCACGCGAATGATTACACACTACGAGTACTACACCCCTCCCCCCTGACAATTACTGTGCGGAGTTTCCCCCGCCTCTTCCGAACCGCTCGCACGTGTGGTTTGATTATGGTGTATGTCGTTTGGTGATCTTGTTCGGAGCGTTGTCGGCCCTTCATTATTTGTGTTTCCGCTGCATAGTTTGGCGCATTTCAGGTCGATGCAGTGCTCCCGTCGTTCAAAATGGCCCTCTTGCCCCCAGTGTGTGCTTCATATCTGGACAAGATTACTTCCTTGTCGTTGTCTCTCCAGCTCTGCATTCCGCTGATCCTCCTTCTCCTGCTGTTCTTCCTACTCCTCCTGCTCCTGCTGCTGCTAATCTTCATCCTCCTTCTTCATCCTTCTCCTCTTGCTCATCATCCTGCCCATCTACCACCACTTCCTCCTCCAATGTGCAAAGCCTCTTCTCCTGACGATGCACCACACCATGGGGACATTTGGGGGACAAAGGTCATCCAGGACGCCCCACGGGCACAAGATAACCCAGTGCAGAGGAAAGGGATCCTTCTCTCTGCACGCCATAGATCCCCCGTAGGCCTCTTCTCTGGACGGCCCCATGATCGGAATCGATGAGGCGTGCCAGAAAAAGGTTTCGCCTTCGAGGACCGAATGAATTGGCATCTCTGCCTTGGCGGAAGAAGGCGGACGGCGGCGGAATAAAAACGAGGCCGCCTCCGTTGGCGGAAGCAGGCGGAAGGCCTGCGGAACCGTCCCCAAGAGATGACAGCATTTCTGGGTTCAGTCATGTATGTGTATCCATCTCACTCTATATGTATGAATGAATGGGGAGGGGGGCCCGGGGAGCCCTGCATTGAGTACCCGGCATTTGGCCCCTTTCTAGGGCGGCTCTTGGCCCTCCTGGGTACGTGCGGCATGTTTTCAAATTGCTCCCAGGCGGCTCCAGCTCGTCGAACTATCGGTCCAAGACGCTCAAGGTGGCCTCAAGACGGCCCAGGAGGCCCCAAAGATGCCCCAAGAGGCTCACAAAAGGACTCCCAAGAGAGCCTCAAGAGGCAGAAGTGGCCCCATTCCGTTCAAGAGACGTATAATTTTCGACGATTCGTCCCTGCAGCTTTCAGAGCATCTACGACGGCCCGCGAGGCCTCCAAGATCGCTCCAAGACGGCCCAAGAGGCTACCTACAGGGCTCCAACACGGCCCAAGAGAGCCCCAAGAGGGGGCCCAGAGGGAGTACCTGAACGGATACTTTAAGCCTTCGGCCCCAAGACGCCCCCAGGAGGCCACAGGATCCCACCAAGAAAGCCCCCAAGAGGCCCCAAGAGGCCCCGAGTACAACCCCAGGAAGTCCCAGGAGGCCCCCAAGAGGCCCCAAGGGCCCCCTCCCCAGACGCCCTGAGGCAAGACGCCCGAAGGGGCACCACCGAAGTTGCCAAAACGCTCCGAGCAGGCCCCAACGAGCTCCCAGGAGCCGCCCCGCAGGCACCCAGCGCCGAAGAGGGCCCAGAGAGGCCCTCAACAGCTCGCAAGAGGCCCCATGAGAGCTCCGAGATGCCCCCAAGAGGCGCCCCGAGCGGCTCTTTGGGGCATGCGCAAGCTTCGGAAGCGCATCGGAGGCGGAAATGCGAGAACACAGGTCATACAGGTTTCTTAGTTGTTTCAATAAGTGTGGGCCGTAGAGGGCTTCCCCTGAGTTCTTGGAGGCTTCTTGGGGCAATCATGGGTGTTCGTGGGGCCTCCATAGCCAATTTGAGAAGAATGAATGCCATCAAATCCTTGCTTTTCAACGTCGACCCCCTCGTCAGTTCCCGCCTGTCCCAGGTTTCTGCGTGCCCCCGAGTGCGATTCCGTTTTCCCCATCCCTCGCTGTCCGTTCTTTTTGATATATCTCTTGCTCTTGGGATTATTGCGTCTCACGTTTCACATCCTTCTCCTTCCTCTCCGCCTCCTTCCTCCCCGCTGCGTCATTGTCCCTCCCTCCACCTCGTCTCTCCTCCACGCCTTCGTCTTACCGCCTCCCTCATGCCATTACGTCTCCATCCCTCACCCCTATCTCTCTGTCATTCTTTCCTCCCTCTGACTCCCTCGCCCAGCATCCTGCTCCACCATGTGGTAGGGAAATCCCTCAAATCCTTTTGTGTCCTCATGTCCCAGACTTTGGCGTGTCCCCGAGTGCGTTTCCGTTTTTCCCATCCCTTGTTGTCCGTTCTGTTTGATCTCTCTTTCTTGTTCTTCGTTCTCCTGCGCCTCCCGTTCTACAGCCACCTCCTTTCTCTTCTCGTCTCTCCTCCCCGCTGCATCCTTTTCCCTGCCTCCTCCCCGTCTCTCCTTCACGCCTTCGTCTCTGCGCCTCCTTCCTGCGTTTCCATCTCCCCCACCCCTCGCTGTTCGTTCTCCCGGATCTCTCCATTGCTCTTGGTTCTTCTGCGTCTCCCGTTGCACGTCCTCCTTCCTCTCCCACTCATCCCCCCCGTGCCCTCTTGTCCCAGGCTGTGGCGTGCGTGGCCCAGAGTTATTTTCGGTTTCCCCATCCGTCGTTGTCCGTTGTCCTTGTTATCTCTCCTGTTCTTGGTTATTTTGAGTCTCCCGATTGACATCACATCCTTTTCCTTCCTCTCCGCTTGCCTCCTCCCCGCTGCGTCATGTTCCCTCCTCCCTGCCCCATCGTCTCTCGTTCACGCCTTCCTCTCCTCGCCCCCCTCATGCTGTTCCGGCTTCCCAACGCTAGAAGACGGCCCAAGAGGTCCTCAAGACAGCACCAAGACAACCCAAGAGGTCTCCACGACGGCCCGAATAAGACGCAAGAGAGCGCCAAGACGGCCCCAGATGTCGCCACGACGGCCCAAGCGGCTTTCAAGACAGCTCCAAAACAGGGGCAAAAACGGCGATCCAAACCGACATGTCGAGCCCAGTTGCCAAGAGCCCCGGGGAGGCCCCCAAAGCTTTCCTAAAAAGTCGTAAGGGGCCACCAGGAGACCACCAACAAAGACCGGAGATGCCCCACCCCTCAGAACCCGCCAGGAGTCCTCCAAGAACGTCCCCCAAAGGTACCAAAAAGACTCCCAGCATGGTTTTGACAGGCTCTTAGGGGTTCTCGGGCATCCCCCCTTAGGCTGCCCTGGGTCCTCCTCTTGGGTTCCTTGCGCGACTTCCTGGAGCCTTATTCAGCGCCTCCTGAAGTATCCACCAGGAAGTGCGCTCCCATATGGTGACCCTTGCGGGATGATGTCCATCCTCATCCGATCTTGTGAGGTTGGCTTGGACTGCGCTAGAACCTAAGCGCGCGCGAAGCGCGCGCGTGCTTTTAATATCTCTCTACATTTATATATATACATATATATATATGTGCATATGTATATATGTATAGAAGTGCAAATATGTGCATACGCGTCAGTGTTGCGTATGTGCATTGTGTGATGACAGTTTGGGTACACCGTTCTCGGTCCGATTATGAGTCAATGTGTATACATGTGTATCGATGTATTCAGAGAGAGAGAGAGAGAGACAAACAAAAGATAGGAAATTATCCTGGCGAAAGACCCAACCATAAGCAATTGTTGGTAACGCGTTGTGGGTGCCGCTTTCGGTGGGGCTCCATATGGGGCCA